TGTGTGTGTGTGTGTGTGTGTGTGTGTGTGTGTGTGTGTGTGTGTGTTGGACTACCTGACCTGAGAGCTTGGATCAATCAAAAGGCTTGACCCAACAAGCCAAAATCAAACACGTCCACCCAGACACCAAGTCTGAGCCACACTTTTCCTCTGGACCATCGCCAGTAAGATAGAAAGATTTATATGCTATGTACGTGGCCTATTTGCATCGTTTGTGAAGGTTTTTCGGGGTAACAACAGAACTGGAGCCAAAATATAAAATTCATATGGAGTGGGAATTTGTTTGAAGTCAAAATTTCCAATAAGAGAAATGCATTTACATATATTGTACATATATGTAAATGTAATTTGTGCAAATGAGACAACTGTATTGTGAATTTGTCTGCATCAAAACACATTATACAGTATGTGATCAGAGAGAGAGTAGACACCCACACAGGTGTTTTCAATCATTCAGGCTGATTAGACATCTATAGTCAGGTTGCAGGTGGGTGGAGCTATGCTGACAATGTGTGGGGCCAGAGAATGACACGCGGTCAGTTTAACGCTGGATCGTTTATCTACAGACAGACTCACTGTGCTGAGTGATGAAAAAGACATAATTCAATCGCTATCCTTGTAAATACCAACACGATTTACAGAGAACAGCCTGCAGGGGTGTTTTGCTAAGTTTAGCTAACTCAGGTAATCTACATTAATTGACTACAGCTAAAAAAAATTAAACATGAGAGGCTTGCGAACAGCAATAATTGTGCCCTCAGCATCTCCGAAAGTGTGTGTGTGTGTGTGAGTGTGTGTGTGTGTGAGTGAGAGTGAGATTGGGGGGGGGATGGAGAAGTGCAGAGTTGGTTCCTTTCCTTTTATTAAAATTAAAAGAGCACATGAAATTTAGATAGGTAGATTAATCGCAGTTCAGGATTTACGTGCGCAACATGGCATCGATGCTCACACTCTCTCTCACACACACACACACACACACACGCACACACACAACCATACCCTTTATAATCGGGTCGATTAGGACCTGATTGATTGCTTTGGCGTGGATCGATGAAACGCTACAATCAGCCAAATGCATGAGCACACAGTGAGTGCACACACACACACACAAACCGTCTCTCCCTCACACACACAAAACAATCTTTAAATATGCTTAAGCTATCTGTACACCACTGAGCTTTGCTTTCCACTCATGTCCACTTACCATAAAAAAAATAATCTATGATGTTCAAGTGCATGTGTGTGCTTTGACACCTTATGCAGTCAGCAGTATCTTTAGCAATGACCACTCCATCACTATAGCTGGGTGAGGTGGCTACTCCTGTCCATCATATGTGGAAAGTGTGTGTGTGTGTGTGTGCGAGTGCTTTTACTCTAACTGTTCCTCGTAAGAAAGAGAGCAGGTTCGATCACTCAGTGACACACTGACACACACACACACACACACACACACACACACACACAGGGTAGACTGACAGCACCACCTAGCTCTACACTACAGAAGCTGCATCTGAAGTGCACCGTGAAGCCCCCGGGTGCCGGCGCCCCCCCCCCCCCCCCCATGTTATTGTGTCATTTATGTGTTTCCTAACTAAACAAAATAACTGTTTTCTGCCTGTGAGAAGCAAAGAAAGAAGAAAAAAAAGTAATTCAATGACTTTGTTATTATCCGTCTTTGTGTACCTGTCTGTCTGTCTCGGCTCAAAGGAAGGAGAGCTGAGTGTGGAAGCGACGGCTCAGTGCCTTGTGCTTTGTGTTTGGAATGATTAAACACCATCC